CAGCACTGCCGGTTGTAGTACACGAAGCACTGGCGTATCCTTGCGTTTTTCACAACTTCTCATTTGCGGATTTCACATTATAGCTAAAACTTTATTTTCTTCTACACAGTAGCTTCGCTTTTAAAACCATTGTCCAATCTAAGTAATAACGGATGTAGTGCTCGAGTCAGTCATGTTTTATTAGGGTTTTTTATAAACAATATTTGTCTCATTTGAGGAGCGTATAGATTTGTTGTACTTTTTGTATGGTAACAATTCGTGTTATAAAATTGGTACCACCCTATGTTAAATACTGAACTTAAAAGTTGTTTGCTTAGTTGATTTAGCAAGAATATAAAGAAATTATATTAACGTCTCTTTAATCTAAAGGTTAATTAAATAGAAGAGAAGTAATTTAAACATGCATTATGCAAGAGCAAAATCTGCTTACTACAAGTCTTTCTTTAGGCCTGAAATGTTATCTAAATTATCAATTAGACATTAATTAACTTATCCAGACCATAATAAACTCTCGATGTCAAGGCTAGCCTTCGATGTTGACTGGATTAGATTCTTATATGCCGCTAACGGCCGTTGATAATTAAATCAGAAAAAGTGGATAATCGAGACTATGCTGTTTATATTAATGATTTTAGTAATGATGACCGAGACTATGCAAAAATTTCACCCGCTTCTTTCTCGGCTCATAGTGGATCAATTTGACTGAAATTTTCAGCAAATTACCTTTACACTTTCTAGTTTTTAACTATCATAGCGAGAACTGCCATCTCTTTATCTTATCTCCCATAATGTATCTTTAAATTAAAAAAAATAAAATAAACATGTCATTGTGATCTTTTATAACGATCTTATAAAGGAAATAGTTCGATGCTTACTGCGCATTAAACGGGTCTTCACATTCAGTAACTATTAAAACAAAGACGTAACAACCGAAAGATCCATGCGTCATTAGATTTAGACATAATCCGTTTTGAAAACATCTTGTTCGTAGGCGATGCACACATTCAGTCATTTTGTTAGGTAAGTTCAAATTACTCAGTGACGTAATTTGGAATACCTACACATGCAGTTTACGTATTTAACAAGCGGGTTAACCTGGCACGAAGTTAAAGGTGGTGATCAGTTAGCCAAAATAAATTATTTACTGTTTCCGTAATTTATGCATTTTATTGAAGATGTTTAAAGAATCATTGATGGTAAAAAAAATATTTTATTGCCAACGTCTTCGAATTTATAGAGAGAATTGTCTAAGTAATGTTCCTTGATATCAATAAATAAAGGGGGTTTAACTTAAGACTCGACTGTTAATAATAAAACAAGCTAACTTACATGCTAGTTATATTTCTTTCGGTCAGTGAGCATGTAGAATTAACGTGGTTTAATTCCGCTTAAATGACAAAACGGATTGTGTATTGAAGTTTTATGGAAATGTCCTTTGCAGCGTGTGATAAAAAGCGTTGATGGTCGAAACTTCCCTATTATTTGTTTTACGACAGTGCGATTTATGATTGATAAGCAAAAGTCTCATCGCTGATTTTTCGTCGTTGACTACGGTAAAATTGTTCGTGCCATATTAATATTATATTGCGCTATTTAGACGATACAACAACCAAATTACGGATTGGTAGATTAGAATAACGGGTAATGTCAAGAACACGAGGAATACGTTCATTGCATCATGGCAAAGTCAAGAACACGAAGAATACGTACATTGCATCATGGTTATGGCGAATTTTCAGTACGCTATGGCTTCTGGTTTGATTAGGCAAATGTATCTATCGTTATTGACAGGGAATAAACCCAATAGGGTCATGATATTTATCATGAGGTTATTACGTGATTCGTGTAAAACTTGTTAGTTTTATAAGAGTCATTTTATTGTGTGTTATTCGTGACTTGAATATTTTCGATCACAATGTCCCCTGAGATCAATCACTAGTATAAATCTATGTAACAAGCAGACGTCAAAGTATTTACGTCACATGGTTATACTATATGTTATTCTCATTTCAAAATTTGATTTAGCAAATTATAGGCTGTGCCAATAAAATACCAGGCTTTCGATTACTTTCAAGAAATTTAATGATATTATACATAAACATGAAGTCGGTCGTCTGCAAATGTCAAAGGAAATGAGATTGAATTAGATTTGAAATTGTTGGAACATTAAGCTGCTAGTATTTAACCTGATTCCTTACCTCATTTATCAAACGCGGAGTCAATACTTAGTATGACAAATAATGCATGTACAGAGTGCTGGAACTCCAACATCAATGTACTGCTTAATACAAGCTATATCACATTTTGTATATGAAATGAGTGCTTAACGTCCCACCTTTTTCTGCTCCGGGCTATGAAGACTAGGCATTTTGTAAAACTAGCAAAAAGATAATACAAATAAGTATACATAAGTATAGAGACAAAATACACTTACTATATTAATAAAAAAAAACTAAGCACATTGGTACTATATACATCTGTGTTACAAGCGACTGTATCCAACAAAGCATGGAACCGGAAATGAAACCTGGAATCACTCGGGATTCCTTGGTAGTTTCCATGACCTCCAGCCAACCCTCATATCGCGGATAAGTTGTTGTAAAATGACTTCAGCTTGACACTTGGCCCCACGTGGCCAGGAGCCATAGTCGCTGTGCAAATTCCGGGCACTACTTTTCATCGACAGCCAATAGGGTAGGGAATGACGATATTTTTTCACCCCTTCAAAACGGCTGCGTATTGAGGACTGGTTATGAAAGAAGAGTTCAGCCTTTGACTATAAAAATAGAATTACGCGGATCAAACGGGTATGGGATGCATATTTCTGTCCACGATTTTCGTGATAAAATTCGATTTACTCCACTACGCACTGATGACGTCATTCGGCGTTTTACACGATCGATCCCATTGCTGGAGCCACATTAAAATTTGATTGTATTTGTTGAAGTAAACATCGAAGTTTCTTCTAGTTATCTTAGTTATAGGCCAGAATCTGAGCCAGGTTTTTATGACTTTTTGTTCCACCCATCGGTCTTGTGGCTAAAACTGTTTTTGGAAATTCAATAAAGTATCCAAGTTGCCGAAACGAGCCCATACGCACGAAAACAAGCAAGACAGATATCCAAGTTATTTCTTTAATTTAGGATTTTATTTTGTCGCGGATTCATCGATGACTACTGGTAAATAATTGCTAAGCAACTTATCAGCCATTGAAATCGCTGCAATTTCCCGTGATATTTGAAGGTAAAGAAAACGTCGTAAAGTTACCCAACATACAGAAACTGGGCTCGTCTATTTAATTGTGAGTACACGTCAGCTACAACGTTCATATGTAGGACATACTATAAATATTCGAAACCGATAATCGAGCCGATGGATTTGTAGACACTCGAGGCCTCTTCTTGCGCCCGTGGGCAGTATAGTATACAACCTGATCACCGGCTTTCCTGGCATGAGTGATAATAAAAGTGCACGACGCCAAATGGAAAGACAATGGCATCATAGGAATACCATTCGCCTTATTCCACCAGATACGCGTCAGGTTTATGATATTGTCAGAACAGTGTATTACAACATGCTCAGACAATAACGTTATCTAATATGGCAGGACTTTTTACCGATTGCAACGGAATATTAACATATTTTGAATTCTTCTCTGTAAAATGGTAGGTTTTTAACATTATAATATCATTAATGATTGTGAGAATAAAGTAATCAAAATCGTTTATAAGAATAGCGCCATGCTTAGTTTGTATGAAACCGAAAAGTCTTAAATGTTGCCATTCTTGTCTTTCGTGGTATGGTATTAGCAAATGGCAAATGGTTACACTAAACAATGTCATTAAATATAACTATGACAACACTTTTGACAGGAAAGCCTGACTGGGCCATCGCCTACTTGGTCCATGCGTGGGGTATTTGCACATGAACCAAACAGACGATGGCTTAATTCACCACCTCAATAACAACTAGTATATTGACAATGCTCAACTCGAGGAAGGCATTTTTTCTTGATGAAATTGTTCCCGAGATCTCCAATGGCCCATATAGAGGCCACAATATGATGCAATCCAGGAATCGCCATTTTAAATGGTCATACGAGAGCATAGCCATGATCATTTATTGCAATGATTAGTGAGCGTAGCACAACCTAAGAATACCCATTGCACCATACACGACAACCCACCCATTGCCTCTAAATACTCACCGATGGATTTTAACGTAACATTAGTTCAACGATAAATAATTTGAAATAACCAGTCCGTTATTTTTCTTGTCGTTTAATCATATTAAACATTGTTTCGTACATTTTAAAGAAACCTTGTCTCGAAAGTATTAATCGGGTGGTTATTTCCAATGAAAAATGACAAATTTGGTATATATGGAAAGTATAGACACCCAATCATACTAGTAAAATACTGGAATACCCGAAAAACACCCATGGGACACTGGGCAAAAATGTCAAGGTACCACCAACTGGCTGTTGTCTGTCAGCTTATTGTGTGCTAGCTTGACTGAGGGAGCCGTTGTTATTTCTTGATTAAGTGGACTGGTTAGGCGGTTTTGGGAACATTGAGGGGTGTCAACGTACAAAAGACTCTGCAATTAAACGGTGGAAAAGGCAGTTGACAGAAAATAATTAAGAATTTACCATGGCCTCAATATGTATGATAAATGGACAGTAAGTAAGGAAAAATATATTCTGAAACATAGACCCTCCCTCAATGAATTGATCTGACAGACAGGGAGTTGAAGCAAATTTTTGATAAGATTAATTAGTTTTAGTTTGAATATATTTTTAGTCCAAATATATAATCAAATCACACAGTTTGTACGCGGGAAAGTATCTTTACAACCCCACCATAGACATTTCGTCATAATCAAGGTGCAGTTGGCAATTTACAAAGAAAACCCTGGAACGGTTTTTAACCCCCAGGCTGCATATTTGCGCCTTGTATTGTTTTTCTATCCGATTCATGTAAATTGTGTTTGTATTTCAGTTTACAAGAGATAGTATAAAAGAATTAGAATGTATAGAAGGAAGACGTATGGTGATAGTGTGTGATGGGGCTAATGGTCAAGCTGTTCGACAACTAGGATTAAGTGATGAATTCATACAACATTCCTGTCGAGCTTATGGTGCTGTCGCTGCCATCGACCGTCAAGACGCTAGTAACGTGCCATTACCTGAAAGGCGATACCACAACCTTTTCTTTGATCTCTCAGCTTACGGCACTGATACCAGTCAAGTTGACGGCCATCAGGGATTTTCTTTAAAGCTTTTCGGCGGTTCCCGACATCGCTACATGACGTTGGCAACCAACAAGAATGAATCAGTGTTAGTAAAAACCCTGAGAGTCGTCTTAGATCGATCGGTAAGTCAAAGTTAATTCTTCAGTTTTGATCGAACCCAGACTAGATCCCGAGCTAACGAGTGCCTTATTTAAAAATTAAATATAGTCCCCTCTCTGGACAAAGTTATCAAGTCCACGAATGTGTTAAATTGAATTGATTCGAATAATGCCTCTGGTGACATTAGCAAAGATGGATAGGAGTAATCCTTGTCCTAAATCAAGGAAAGCAGATAAAAACTGCGCAGGTCAATAGAATCTTCTATCAGGTTACTCGAATTTATTTCCTTTAAATTGCTTGAATAATGAACAAAAGTTCTGCCTTTGGATTCTGTTAAATGAGCAAATTAGTTACGAGTAAAAGATGATCAGTTCTAATCCCGTTACGTAGTGAAAAATTACAGAAGTTAAAGTGACACTAGCGCGTTGGAAAAAAACTGATTTTTAATTTGACTTGGTTTGATTTACAGTTATGTCTCACATGCCAAATTCGATTCAAGCCAAAATATTAGACATATCTGCCAAGAGATCACTCAGATATACACACTTTAAGTTTCAATTTAGGACTCGCATAAATAGGTTTTGAAAATGTTTAACGAAATGATTTATGACAGTTGAGAAGTCTAAAGTTGTTGATATGATTAAAAATTATTACGTTTATCGTTTATAAAAGTGATAATGCATTTTAATGTTTTGAAGAACAAACAACATTTAAGAACAGGTATATAGATCTACAGAACGTTTGAGTTCTGTGAGAAATGAAATTAAATGGGCGCTAACGAAGATGGACAAGGTTTCGTTCGTTTGGTACAAATATTACTTTAGGATAGATATCAGAGTCTGCACTTATCACCAAGCATTTGTGACCGACTGTATTGACTGCAGTAAAGCGGTGGATTTTCATCAAGTTACAGATGATCACCACCAATCTGTTTTATCCACTTTCTTACAAGATCCAATTCGTATCAAAAACATCATTATTAACTCGCGATCTTTTTAAAATTGGAGTGTCTGGGTAATTGGAAGCATGTCTTTATTTTCTACAATATCTGATGATCACTGTCGTGAAAAGTTTTTCAATTGTTGCGAATTTTGGTAAGCATTGTAATCATTGTTTTTGTTCAAATTTGTATCGAATATCTAGTTTACTTTAAAAGAGAATAATCTTTTGATTTTCAATGAAATTTTTGTTGGGCAACTTGTTGATATTCCTTAGGACATGACTGGTGTCAGGTGTTTTTGAAATTAGTATGCGACGTCTTTCAGCTATTTCGGGTATCAGAATATTTTCAAAAAATGCAGGTAGGAAAAACATCGCCCATTAAAGGTCTCGGTGGTAATATAATTGATTCAATCGGTGTTGCTTAAAACGGTTATAGATATTCAATATTAATCGAGCGAGGTACCATTAATCTAAAGTATGACCCGAAAGTGATATTTGATACTGAATAGAGAGCACAGGGGTGTTGCACAGCAAAACAAACACGGGACAAACAGTAAGACATACACATTAAGCCATAACGGCGAGCATTGATCGTGTCTGAACCATCTGCACTTTGTCGTCCAGATATTAATGAATAAATTTCAGAAACGAAATGTTTATCATTAAAAATTAAAACTTTGTAAGCAGTCGGAACAACGACAATGAAAAAGGACAAATAAACTGACCATGAGGTGTTGACTGGTAAAGTTACTTGGGATGTTCCAGCGTGATTTCCGTAGTGATGTAGGGCGGGGGATCTGGCTAGGATCCGTGTCTAGTCGTCCTGGACGGTACTAAAACTGAGGTCCCGTGTACATGTTACCTTGCACGTAAACAAACCATTGACAGTTGGAATTCGAAATATGAGTATAGGCCACCACACAGTTGTCCGGGCAAAATGTCCCACATAGCACATTGCATGGCGTATACCTTTTTTATTAACTCAGCTAAACCCCACTTCACTTGTTCGCTCCACTAACGTCACATCCATAGAAGATAAATGACGATAAGATACATTTTGATTCCACCCCGCCTTTTCGACATGGTCACTAAACCAATGTACAGGTATTATACCAATGATCAGATATATTCAAACAATAGGTGTACCTTTTTTTTGGAACCAGTGATTAAAATTAAAAATTAAAATTGTCAATCAAAGCACATACCGCAAATCCAATCATATAGTTCTGTCTGAACAAAAGAGTTGGCAATTGTCTATTTTTATCCACAGTAGATTAGCCGTATTCTAATAATACTACTACTAAAAATAATAATAATACTATTAACTATAAAATGTCAGTCCTTTCTTTATTCCTTAAATAAATATTGACATTTAGTGCCTGGAAAAGCGGTTATCAGCAATATCGCTCGATCGTTGGTTTCCATAGTGCTCCATATCATTGAAAACCTTGAAAAACGTCCAGTGTAAATGGAATCTGTTTTTACAAGAGTGTTAACAGAAGAATGGTAACCCGACTCCTGATTTAATTAGCATATCAATGACAATCTAATACTCATGTCATATCAAATCCAATGGGATTCGGGGAACAACACGGAATGTGTGATTGCTAGCTTCATAAACTTGAAAACTTGTGAATTGATAAGCTGAAAGAGTTCGAATTCTTCTGAGAATGCTTTGTCGGCTTTCTAATTAGAATATATTTTCTTTGGTTTTATAGAGTTTATGGAGTTCTCTATTAATATTTTTGAACAGATGTATTCAGAATAAGAAATGGATGTTATTTATATTGATCAAATTTTCTTGCCGGTTGTTCCGTTGTGGATATTTTTGTAATAAACTCCATTATTGCTGGAACTTAAATTAGACATGATGTTTAAAAGGACATTTCAACATTTGTCTATGTGTTTACTATAATTTACTGATTGGTATCCCAACCCTTCTTTATAAAATCCACTCGACACTATATTTGTTGAGTATTTTTATTACGTTATTTATTTGTTTATTTATATGTTTATTTCGGCCTTTGCATGTATGTAATCTTCACAGTTTATCACCATAATTTGTAAGTCAAATTCATGGCATGACATACAACCCATGCCATGATGATAACGTGTGTCTTTCAGAAGACGTTTCTGGATCCCGAGACCAAGAGTTAAAATCCAAGTAAACAAGGATTTAAGGAAATAGTACAGTAAGAAAGTTCAGGACACTCGGATCGAAAGAGCAAATCATTTGATAGTTCGAAACAAATTGTATATTGGGATTTTTTCCTCCTATTTTTTTAAGTGTCAACATCTGTAAATAGAAATCACCGCTTTATATTATTTACTACATTGTTTGTTTACAATTCTGTCATATTTGTTTGTTTACATTATATATGACATAAATTATTCCTAAAATATAGCCAACAACAGCCTTATTGTTTGAAATCTAGTCGTCATAAAACATGGCAGGTGACACGAAGAGATACTCAATCGACTAGATTGATTTATATATGACAAGCTCCGCTATTAACTAAAGTAATCCGGTTTTTTTGTAACCCTACCAATAAAATCAAGGGTATGTCACGACACATTTAACTACGGTTTATAAATAAAATATGTATGAACCGATTTAAAGGACAATATTGGTGCCAGTCATTATCACATATGTGATAGAACTGGTTAAACACGTTCAAAATATTATTTTATCTCAGAGATCATTGCTACGATAGATGAGTAATCAATGTTTCAACAATAGGAAGTGACGAACGCAAAGGAAAACACGAGTTATCCCTTTATATAACTGAATGGAGTGACATGGTGATAACAGATACATGGGCGAATTTCTGGTCACTAATAATTAATTCGAAGACCAAAAGTTGTGTTATGGGACTGTGAAAGGATATGTGATAACGACTGGCACCAATATTGTCCTATATAGATAATGCAACCAGACCGAAACGTTTCGTTTTTGTTTTCTGTATTGTCGTGGGGGGGGGGGGGGTATTAGATTTCGTGACCAATTTGCTTATAAACCTCTAGAATTCATCACTGCACCGACTTTTCGTTATATCACCAGAAGTGACAGATACAATCCATTATTTAGTATTTATTTAAGAAAAAACGCGAGCTTAAATTCATGTCAATTACAAGTTGCAATCATATCCTATTCCATCTCCATTTTTTTGTCTGCGGTTATTTACGAAACTGTGCAAACATCGTTTTATTTGCTATCAGTATTTTACGACCATCGTAAAAAAGATGGTTTAGATCACGCTGATTCGTAATAAAGAAATCGAGGAGTTTTTATCTTGCTGTTAGACCTTCAAAATGTTTTATTATTATTTTTTACCAAATCCAAGGTTACAATGAAGTTATTACCTGCAGCAAGACTGCAACACGATTTATGGAGAACGTTGCTAGCAGATCAGTTTACAGTCGAGTCGAGCTAAAGCTTGAGTTTAAATTCAATAACTGGTCTCAACATAAGACTACGCTTCCGCTACTATTTTGGAATCGCCTTCAGATACATGCAATGACATTTTATACAGCAAGCTCATTATTTAACGATTAAATTGTTTGAGTCGATATTAATGCTAATGTAACGCGGGGTGGATTAGCACTTATGGAATTATATAATCACTAGCCTTTCACTAATGAGTTGACTGTCATCACGACATTTTAAAAATTAATCTGGCTAAAAGCTATATATAATTCACTCGGATTTTTGTTCCTCGGCTTTCGAAGAAAGCGGTGGACTATTAAAATGGGTTCGTCCACCTGTCACACTTTGGGACTCGATAACTCTGCTTCTAATTTAGCTCGAATATTCAAACTTGGCGAAAGTGTTGATGAGCATTTTCTGCTAAGCAGAGATAACAGATACATGTGTCATTAATTAACACGTGTCATCTATTTATGGCGCTGACTTTTATTTTAATATCTAATATTCTTTTTTGCCCATTCGTCGTCAGTACACCGCGATTTTCAAAATTTTCAGAAGATTATGTCGATGGTTTGCACCTTTGTTACGTATTATTAGCCAATCAGAGAATACAGTCAGGAAGCGAACATTCTGAAATATTCTGAGGCATTTACT